AAGAACCAACCCAAGAGAGAGATATGTTTTCGCTTGAAATGTTTTTAACATAGTTCTTGTTAAAAAATAGTGTTTCATGCGCGAAAGTTATGTTTTGCGAACCTAATCAAAATCACCATTTATTCACTTTCATTTTTATTCATCGATTATTCATTTGTGTTATACACTTCAATCGTGCATAAGAAACTATTCACCCCATTATCCAAAAGATATGTAGATAAAAGGTACCGACATGAGGCTCAATCACGAGCAACAGCCTTCACACACACTCAAAATACTGGTGAAGACTTCAGTCTAAATCTGAAGTATCTCACACACGCTCGCAAGAAGCTTACTATACAAAACTAATACTTCATAATGTAGCCTCTAAATGTATAGAAAATTTTCTCTCTTCTCTCTCTCTTCGAAGATAATAGTTTAACCACTATTGATAAGTATTCAAGACAATGGCTTTAACGCTTATATTAGCTGCAACTATCTTCTAAACACACTCGGGTATGTAGTGGGGACTGATCTCAACCTTTTTTATTAGTGAGTTATCTGCTGGGTATAGGCACCACACTGTTATTTTTGTTAATCCTTTGAGATACTGCTAAGTTTGTATGCAGTATATCAGTGTTTCACAGCTATTGTATCCGCGTTTAACCTCAACTGTTTCTGTCTGGCAGTACATTTTGTCAAGATCATCAAATTGATAAGACGGAAACAGTTTTTTTTTTTTCTGTAAAAAATTCCCATTTCCTTAGGGTGACACCGTAGCAGACTGTTTCCCAACCTATAAGTTACAAGAACTGCAGGGCGGAGAGGTCTGTGTGCGCTTGAAATGTCCGGAAAGTTCAGCTGTTGGTTGATCTCCACTTAGTTCGCACACTTACCAGTCAAAAGTATGTTGTTACTTGCGTCTGTGATTTGGAAGAAATTATCAGAAGAGATTCAAGAAGTAGTGATAGATAGACGATAACGACACACACGATTGGAAACAAGTTATTGTTTGGCTTGGTGGACAGGTAAACTAGTGAGGAGCGATGAGGATGTGAACAGGATACAACGAGATCAGTGACGCAAGGATACGAGATGACCTGTTTATGAAAGTGGTGGGAGTATATAGACCAAAGAGAGGGGGGGCGTAGGGGAGGGGGGAGGGGGAGAGGCGGTGGGGGGTGGTCAGATAAATAGGTAGTAGAAATGAAAAACGGGTAATGCGCATAAAATGGAAAGAATAGCGCCTAATGGCTATCTTTTAAGTTTTGAAATTCTTTCCATTAACTGTAAAATGGATCTCATAATAAAAAGTTTATGTCAGATAAAGGTAATGACTCTTGCAATAAGTTGATATTTATTATATCATCGTATCGTAAGTAACATGGAACTTAAGTGTGTATTGAGTAATGCTAAATTCAAATTGCAAAGGAACTCTGCAACAGTGGGCGGACAATTGTAAATTTGGGGGGGGGGGGTGCAAGCCTATTTTTTAATATGATGACGTCGCATTTCCCCATTGTTTTATAGAACAAAAGACCATTGTCCTCCAAAATATTTTGGGGGCGACTGTCCCCCTCGCCCCCAGGTGTCCGCCACTGCTCTGTCATCATTATTTTAATCACTATCAGAATTATCTGGATGCTCGCTCGTCGTCATACAATCATCTCCCGAATCTAAAAAACTTCGGTTTAAAATGATTATAATAGTAATTTCATTTCTTTATACCGTACCTCTTCATTCTCAGTTGATTTTTCAAGAGGTCGTCATAAGTTAAAAGTGCATGAATCACCTAAATACTTAATTAAATTACTAATTGTTACTAACGGAAGGTATCAATAAAATATTTAAACGCAAAACCATTTACCATATGAATAGAGGTAAAAGCCTTGTACAATAGATGTTAGATTAATATAATGATTTATTTATGTAATGTTTGATTGTAAGGAAGTAGAGGACTGCTTGGCTTCTTTTGTTAGGTTGTTGCAAGAATTTGAACCTGTAGGAAAAACCTAATGATTGTCGTTTCCGAGATTCTGTTTTTAGTCTCTACGACTCTTGCCGAACTTTGGCTTCTTCTAGTAAAATGGTTTGCAAATATTGAGGCACAAGGCCATTCGAGGATTTAAAGATCATGAGTTTTATGTCTTTATCTACCATTTCCTTGAAAGTTTTCAAGCAAAGACTTTCAAGCAAATGATCCTTAGGAGTATCATTGCCTCTGCAGTCTACTGAGTTCAGTTTTGAGCATAGCAGCAGTACCTTTGGTTTGGTTACACGGTGCTAATTTATAGGCTTTTGATGCTGTTAGGAGGAAAAATCTTCTTTATTTACTCAAGCATTCTTATTGTCCGTGAGACTTTCCTTAAAGACTTGCTAATTTGTTTCTTCCAATTGAGATTCAATGTTAATACCTATATACTTAATGCCAGTTTTTATGACGTATCTTTAAATCAAAATGGCTGGCAGAGACTTACGCTTTTGACAGTTAACAAAGAGTTGGTCTTCAAATCATTTAAAGACATTCCATTCCCCATCAACTAGGTAGTCGCGCCACTGATTACATTTTTTGTCGAGGGATGCAAATCTCTCGATAAACTTACTTTTTTATCACAAAACCTGTTACCTTGTCAGAATATTATAAAGTGGGGAAATGTTTTTCGCAGGTGACTAAATTTCTCCGGCTTAATTTTCCTCAAATTTTCTTTACCCGACTAGTAACTTTCGTTGATTTTTATTCTTTTTGTACGCCATTTAGGCTAAGAACTGTACTTTGAACGTAGATTCTGCTGTTAACATTAATCAATATTTTTCATTGATATTACATAGATATTCTTTCGCGCGATTAGCGTTTTCATATTATTTCAACTAATTTCGCTGTGAAATAATTTTGCTTCCTTCAGCAATCTTCACACTTTTAATTTTCTCAAATTATGTAACTTTTGTAGAACTTTTGTGTCCCGTAATCTTTGTGCTTTCAGTTTGAAAGAAAATGATGACTTTCTCACCTCTAGCTTTACTTCTTTTATGTCATATGGACATGGTGTGCGTATCTTATTTTTATATCCACTGGGTTAAGCTGTTCAACTGCACATTTTCAATCAATTGCGCATTTTCGCTGACAGTAAAATTCATCACCTGTTAAGTACTCTGTTCGGCCCACGTGCTTAGGCACACCAGGGCCTTTCTCTGGCTTCTGCGTTGAATGCAAATTTGTTGAGATAAATGCTTCTAGAAACAGTTTTTGTCATAAATATTAAAGGTCCATCATGGACAAAGAATGTAGATTTAAGACCAATCTCTTTTGGATGTTTGTAAAAATACGAATTACTTACTTGTCTACGAAAATTCTCATGTCACATGTCACAATATTGTTTTTTAATCACAATATAGGGCTATAAACTCCCCAGTTCCCAACCCTTAAAGAGATGAACGCAGAAGAAACGAGGCTAAGCCATATTGCATTCTGCTATCATGGTTCTTGTGAATCAAAAGTCCTTGCTTAATAGCATTACGATGCATCTTGAAAATGCAATATTGACAAAGTCAACACTGGAAATGTGTCAAAGCATCCTCTTTACGACTGGTCAATATCTACGAGATTTCTTTAAAATGTAGCATTAGGACTTTTTTAAATAAGGGGTGGTCATACCAAAAAACGCCCCTCCTCCCTCATTTCTCTTATCCTTTTTGGCTTAATTCAATGGGGACTCCCGCTTTGTTGATCCTGTTCGCGGCAAATAAAGATCTGACGCCTGTGCTCTACTTGTTGAATGTCTTAAGCCCTGGCTAAACGGTGTAATAATTTTTACTTCTTTTTAAATAATCGCTGACGTTAAAAATATTTCTTCTTACGCTGTCATTGTATGCTAGTGTTAAAAGTATTTGTTTAAAAATCCTTATAATCTTTCGATCCTATAGTTTTTTTGTGTACAGTGGTCTGAATTTTTGAAATTTTTGAAATATTCAAATACGTGTGTAAATACTTAGGGTAAGCAGGCAATAGCCTAGTAAGGGTGTTAAAAAGGCCCTGTTCTTTTGCTTTGCTTACCGAGAGAACGTTTCTTTCAGATTAATATGTCAACTGAAGAGACTCGAAAGGACCATAATACATCGGATGACCAGTTGCAGAAGCACAAGCTCCTCGAAAGCCAGCTGAATGCACACGGAGGACAAATACAACTGATTACGTCATCTTGCAATGAGCTTATTCAAAAGAAGCATCCACATTCAACTTTGCTTCAAGAGAAGTTGCAGCTACTAACAAAGAACTTTGAGGTGTGAAATTAATTTGTTTTATTTCTGCTGCTATGGCTTTACAGGTCCCTTGATCAGGGTATTTTTGCATTAAAGAATTTTGTTAAACATGCAAGTTAATTTTCAATTTTAGTATCTTAAATGTTATATAAATATTTGTTTTTGGCTTTTGGCTTGGCTTTTTCACGACGTTTTTTATATTTGAACTCTTGTCCAGAGGGCTCGTCATGGATAACATTTTCAGGCAGTCATGCATCTGCTAAACTCTTATTGCTATTCCTTCAGCTAAAGTTAACTACAAAACGTAGACAATACATAATATTTGATAGATTATGTATACATATTTTAAGATATATTATGCAATTAGTTTTTAATGTTAACATATGCATCTTGAGTACTCTTCTTTCAAGAAGTTGCGTTTTACATTTGCAGTTTTATGTTCACGTTTCTTTATTTCATGAATAAGGAAACCCAAAGCTTTTCTTTGTAAAACTGACCTCCTAGCTCAAATTTGTTTCACAAGCTTTTTGGAGGTACTTGAAGGCAATCGAAAGAAACGAAGCAAACAGTTTCATATCTTTCTCGTGCCCACTTGCGCAGTCAAAATATATATTAGATAATTGATCAACTGTGAATTTCATTTTTGAGAGGATGGTGCTCTAAAGTGCACACACGTGCCCTTTGAAGTTGACATATGTTTAATTCTCCTAGTTATGAGAATCTTAAAAGGGAATCTCAATTATTAACGGTACTTTTTCAAGCTTATCATATCGTTTCCGATGAAATCTGATAATACCAAAGTCATTCTTTTTTTGCGTCCAAAGTCTGAGAATTGCTTCAAATGTCCTTTAGATAAGGCCATGTCAGAGGATCTTTATCTTCCACGGCAATTTAACATAATACGTTTCAAAAGTGATTATAAATATTGCGTTCATGGCTTGAACGACAAGGATGAACACTCGCAAAGCAAAATAGCAAACAACACATAAGAAAAATGCGTTGTTAGCAAACTGAAATCAGAAAGAGCAGAATAATATATGTTTTCTGTAAAAGAAATATTTTGTGGTTTGATGGTATTGTTGCATGAGTTGTCTCGTTCGTGTTTTTTCCATTTTATTTTCACTTGAAACTTACAGTTTATGTGTTCTGTATTCTGATGTTGTTAGACATTTATACTTGAAGCTTCACGTTGAATTAGTTTTCCGATTAAAATGCTTGAATAATTTTAATGCTTGAATCTAATGTGCTGCCGATCTGCCGATCCGCACTGTTTGTTATTATTATTATTATTATTATTATTTTTATTATTATTATGGACAAATCCGGAATTATATCCATTTTAATTCTGGTTGTTTTATTTTTCTCAGTTTTCCCTTTTACCTTACGATTGTTATATTCCAGATATTTTCTTGTAAAACCAGGCTAGCCAATTGCAAATTACCTTGTAATAGTGAGTTTTGCAATTGTAGTTTAAGTTGAATTGAACATGAAATGTTTCCATAATAATAATAATAATCTCAACTGCAATGCTGTCAGAAAGTCAGAGAAATATGCCAACCTCATATTTGACTTAAAACATCGGTTTAAGTCTGTTTCATTTGTCAATCTTTCCACCAGTTCTCTTGGTATTTTTGGCAACTCCTGCAGCTCATTCATCGACATGTGTGACTCTTTGTCCATTGATCATCAACAGAAACGCCATCTCATCTCCAAACTTTCAAGCATCTCCATTCGCACAATATATGCTATATATTCTGCTGTAGAAACAAAACTTGGACTAATCCAGAGCTACTCCTCTTTTAACATTTTCTTTTCTTTTCTCATTATTACGACTGCAATAGTTTTATTTTGTAAACACAGGCTAGCCAGTTACAAATTACCTTGTAATAGTGAGATTTGTAATTGTAGTTTTAACTGGAATTCAAAATGAAAAGTTTCCATTATTATTATTTGAAGCTGCCGTGTTTGTTCTTAAACTGTGCATTTTTTAAAGAAGACTTTTGAAAACTGTTCCTTATAGCTTGGAATTTCAAAGTTTCTTCAAAGACATTGCTTTGTCTTGTTGTAGTCAATCGCCACATCTGTTGAAATATCTGATTTGGTATACTGTTCTTTGTCGTGATTAGGATGTTGTGCAATCTTCAAATTTTCGAAGAAAAAGGCTTGAGGAGTACCGGGATTTTAATCTTTTCAAAGAAACTGTGAAGAAAGAAAATGCTTTTATCCAAGAAAAAGCCCAGTTAGCTGCCTCGAGAGAAGTAGGCAAAGACCTGGTTTCTCTTACACGATTGCAAACAAAGTTACAGGTATGTGCTTTTTAAGGTTGTTTATATTGTTGAAAGTAGTTTTGGAATTGAAATGTGCTCACGCAAGATATTCCATGTATGTGTTCTCTGTCTTGCGTCCAAGCTTCATGCTCTGCTACTAGCGTACACAGACCAGGTAATTCCTAGATATTCAAGGTTATGTTAATTTATGCTAATTATTTCTAATATTTTAGCAAGCATATGCCCGAAGTATCATTTTTATGAACTGGAAATCTCTAGGTACTGGGTCAGGCTTTGTCTGAATCTACTTAAAACATTACGCTAAAGAAGCAACATCCCTCATTTTCAGCTGCTTTTTTCTGAATGTCCTTGTTATATATTCTGCATAGCACTATTTTCACAACATTCAGCGATAAATGTTCACAAAAACAGGAAGAAATGCTATGAATTCGCTACGAACATCGGCTCTTCGACGTCAAACGAGCCCATAGTTATTTTTTCTGTTTCCCAAAATTGGGTCATCAACGTAGGAGCCTGACTAAACTCTTGCTGATTCGTTGTGTCGGAAATGACATATAAATGGGTTTTTATAATTAGTTCCCAAAATATGATAATACCTTGTTCGTTTTCTCTTTTGTTTGTGTACGAATCCGTGTGAAGACAAACTCATTGATTTATCCTGGGTCAGGCTTTGTCTGGATCTAGTTAAAAACATCGCGTCATTTGGTAACCGATGATTACAAAAAGTGTACAGCAGCCATTCTTAAACTCCGGCCCGCAGCAAGTTTTTATCCGACCCGCCCAGCGCTTTATCTCACAAATATATTTTTGGCACTTTGAAAATTTTGAATTCGATTTAGTTTTGTTTTTGGACTGTTCTGATATTTTCTTTTTCTCTGCAGTAAATGATAATGTGCGTCCCGTTGACCAGTAATTGGTCCGAAAGAGTACGAAATGCTTTTATTTTCTTTACCACTTTCTTACACTTTACTGCTCATTAAATAACCATCAGCCAAATTTTTTTTCCAGTAAATAACTTTATCGTTTATTTGATATAAGATTATGTTCTTTACAAGAATTACACCGTTTTGTAAAGGCTAACGACAAGAAGCTATTTGTACCTTCAGCGAATGCGATTTCTTCCAAAATTGCAGAACTTCGGGTGGCTCTAAACATAAAGTTTCTTTTGCTTTCGACCAAAATAAATATCTAGCATGACTGATGTTTGTTTCTCGTCGCATTCCGCGATGTTTTTCCAAAGTTTGTTACATCAAGCTGTGAATGTTTAATTGATACAATAATTGATAAAATAAAATAACGACTTCGCACAAGATTGAAAGTACGACATTTCGAGCATAACTTTCACCAGGTAAAAAGAATGGAAGAAGTAATGGTTAAAAGGAGAATAAAAGAGTATAATCGAAAGATAAGCTATATGGAACGTGATAGAGATACGACATATGAACCAACAGAGACGCCGGAAGCTTCATGATGCGGCGGGGGCAGAACCGGCAGAAAGGGCACCTTGGGGTGTCATAGTTTGCTCCTGAGACAGATCGGGAATCGCCAAGGCGCTTTAGATTACCTAAAAATTCATTTCAGAATATTTTTGCAGTCACTTTCTTGCAATCATTTAAAAAGTTGCACAATTTTGTTACGTCTTACTAATTGCTTTCACAAACAGGAATCATCGAGAGCACCCTAACCCTTGTTGTGGGCCGGTTTTTTGGTTTTTTAAAAAGCAGATCGAAAAAAAAAACATTTTAGATCATCGCCCCAAAAGGTCACCCTTTTGCTTATTTCGTATAGCACCTAAGCAATTCAAGGGCATTTTTTGGTTATGTAGTTGGCAAAAAGAGCAACTCGGTGGCTGCGAAGGGGCAGGTAAACTGAATTTCGGAAAAGAGGGTACGTGCCCACTGTACCCCCGGTTCCTACGCCTTTGCTGGAACTTTAGACATCATTGATGCCTTGACTGATATATCTAACATATGCGAGCCAACGTTGCTAGCAGTCAGAAATCTGTGCAGCATTATCATGAAAGTTAAAGATAACTTATCAACGAGAATGTTTTTATTGGTCAAATTTCTTTGCAAATCATTTTTCAGTTCTCATCGAATTGGAAAATATTGACTTTTGTCTTGCATGTAGGTATCTATCCTCGGTACCAGGAATGATCTTGATACCTATTGTAACCAGCGTAGTAGGTATCAAGATCTGCTTGAAACCTAGATTTTATTAGCATTCAAAATATTAATATGAATTGATATTGCTCGGAAATCAATTTCTTGAAAAGGGCACTTTGCTGCCCCCGTGCTGCCCCCGTGCTGCCCCCGTGCTGCCCCCGTGCTGCCCCCGTGCTGCCCCCACACCACTAGGGCAACGGGGCAGATGAAAATATATGACTCTGGTGCCCTTGTGTACCAAGTTTAAGAATAATATGTTTTCGAGAGTTTTGCGTTGAATGTTGTTGTAAGGTGCATTGCAAAGTCGTGTGATTTTCATGTTGGCTGGTGTATGGCCATCTTCGTTAAAATGAATGGAGACTATGCATCCGGGACATATGGTTGTGAATGTACATATGTTAATGTTCATGCCGCTAAAGGGGTTTAGTCCGATCGTTGCCATAGTTTTTACAAAGATTAAAGACATTTTATCCGTGTTTGCTGTAAAACCATAAGCCAACAAGGAATGGAGAGAAGCCGGCTCTCAAGAAAGTGCAGTAGCCGATTTGAAGCAATGCCCTATTATGTCTATTCGCGTAAAGTGTTTTATAAGAAAGAAGCTTTTCAGTTGTGCAGCAGTTGTTTTTTCACTGGAGTTCTTTTCAGAGTTTAACTGCAGCAATCATATAGCTTCAGCTTGACGATCAAAGAGTTTTTACATCTATATCAAAGAGCTCCCCTCTTTATAATACTGAGACCGTAGACGAAAGGCGAAGGTTGCTTTCTTGATCATGCTATTCTTAGAAACAATCCAACGATTGCAGAGCTAGTAGTCTTAGGACCTGTCTATATGGAGAAAAACATCCCACCTTCCAGCCTGTGAGCTGAGAGGTGAGATCCCACACTCCTATAAAATCCTTTGTATTTTGCGCCTCGCGTTTATGTCACAAATGAGCCGGACCGTTCAGACGAGCTCCCACTGCAGGATAGATAGGATCTCACTTGGGATGGGATGAATTTTTCCATATGAACGCTGGAAGGTGGGATAGAGGTGGAATGTTGGATTAAATATTTATGTAAACGCGATCAAGTTTTGTCGCAACTTTCAGCTCACAAGCTGGAAGGTTGGATGAATTTCACCTAAGACAACTAGAAGGTAGGATAAATCTACTCATGTAAGCAGACCCTACGACCAAACATTTGTGAAATTCTTCAGATTTTTTGCCAGGGCTGTTAGGCCTAGCAATGCTTGTATGTCAGTGCAAACAAAATGAGCAACGATGCGCGTAAATTCTCTGTTGAAACTCTTTCATTCTAAACGAAACCAGTTTCCAACCTTGGGTGCTGCTTTATCATGGCCTATATCCTCAGAGTTTTCCAAAAAACTGGGTCGTTGATTTCTCGCTTGAATTATGGCTGAATCGCTATTTTCTGACGTATCTGTGTGATGTTTCTTAAGCTCAGTTTGGTTGCCTGCCTATCCACTAGTCCCAGGGTGCAAAGCGCAAATTTGCAACGATGTCGTAATTAGGGTAAAGGTCTATTCGCGAAGACACTGCACAGATTCGTTATAATCGTGATTTTCCTCTACAGAATTTAGATATGTTTTCCAAATAATTAAAGGTTGTCAAAAACTTTTACATGCTAGTTCATTCTGAAGTTAAGCGAGATAATGTATTTTCATGCCATTGCAATTTTTACTGGTCAGAATCTAGAAATTCTCAAATTTAAAATAGGCTTATGCAATTGCAGGAAATGATACAGAATTTCTGTTTTAGAATATAAATCAATGCTTTGTTTTTTATTTTATTATCAATAAACTTCAAATATATCCTTTAATAATAATGCGTTTTTGTTACATTTCTTTTTCGCTTGGCATACGAGTTCTAGTTGATAGAAAGCCTCTTTTGCGACAAATTTGTGATTCAATTGACATATGTTGAAATGAGCCAATTTTGTATGTCAGGGTCCTAGACGAAGGTACTTTCATGCATTTTTGTTGTCATCACTGTCATGAAAAACGTGCGTTGGAAACAAAGTTGCTCGCAGCATCTGAGCATCCATTTATTCATCCACTCTTGCTCGCGGAACATTACAGCTATGTAGGATAGAATCAGATATAAGACTCTACTGGAAGCAACTCTTCGTAATAAGCAGAATCCATAATACAATCACCCTGTTAACACTAGAACTTATTTCTATTACTACCAACTTCGAGAATTTAGTTAGGTATCTAACGCCAGGCTAAATATTACTGATAACTTTAATTGATACAACCTTTAAAACTTATGCTACGTAATTTTAAGGGTACGGCCTTTTAACGATCAGTATATATATATATTTACATCACTACAATTTTAGTTATCAATTTATTTACAGAGATGTTGCTTTTGCATCTTTTCAACTAACTATAAACTACAACAAAGCTCAAAATTGTGGTTTACTCGTCGTTTCTCAAAGAAATTGCCAATGTTACTAAGTAGAGTATTTCACTTTTTATTAGTAAATTCATGACTCTTTTGTGAGTTTTCCTAAAAAAAAGTTCTAAATTTACGGGCTAGCAGAAGTTTACAACTGTTAAACAAAGAAAATGAAACATTTTTATTTTTAAAAACAAATTGCTCCGTGCGAAGGTTAGGGGAAGTGACTGCGTCCTGAATAATCACTCTTGACTAATTTGTTGTTTGTGTGGATGCCAGTGATCTTTCACATTTCAGCCTAAAGCCTCGAATTTATGTGTTCAGGTTCCTTTGTATATCATGCAACCAGAGATTAAGATATCTTCATTGTAAAACGTCGATGAAGTCATTTAACGATCATTCTAGGTGATCTATCGGGGTGTGGGTCTTTCTTGCTTGCTTTCAGTAGTTGAAGGGATCCATCTGAACAATTTGTCTGCGAAATAGTGTGCTGGGAATTCTCCACCTCATTGTTAAAAGTTTGTAGCAAACGATTGTTTAGTTTCCCTCTCGTACTTTAATTACTTTTACGACAAAAGTTATTGCCGTATTTAAAACTCGAATATACTACATTAGCTAATTAGTTTTTAAATATTCTACACGTTGGCCGGATAGAATGCAAGAAGAAGTTCAATAAATTTTTAGGCAAAATTTAGTTGATTTAACATAAAAGTAAAAAGAGTTTAATGCCAACATCAATGTTTTGATCGCTGGAACGGAACTGATGTTTTCATGCACGCAACCGTTTGAGAAGAAATTAGAATTTTCACTTCAAATTAAAGAGATTATTTCTCACAATATGTTAACGTCTTTCTTGTCACCTTACGACTGCAAAGATGCCAGAATTCATGCATAATGGTCTGCTATACAGCATGTTTTTGACAATAAGATTATTTCACTGACGACAAATGTCAGCACATGACGCACTGGTAACATGAATCTTCGCGCTTTCAGTTCTGGCGACAGATTAGGCTTCAATAACAGCGGGCAAATCCAGTATTTCTTCTGAAATACAGACCGTCGTTATTAATTAAATGTTGCCAGGACATTAACTAGTTATAGTATACATCAAGTGAGACTTGCCGCCCTTTCTGTACTATTGTTTAGAATTTGTTCACATATTTGTTGCCGACTGTTCGTCCTTCCTCAAGCAGATCATCCTTGTCCACAAAAAAAGCCTTTTTTAAGTTGCGCAAGTATTTCTTTCTTCCTCACTAACATGTTTGTGGATAACCCGCCACTGATTTGTTGCCCAGCAAAAAGTGTTTGGTTTTTAGAAGCGCGATTTTTTGGTTAAAGTCTTTATATTTCGACCCAATTTAAGGAATTTTTAGCTCTATTCTCCAGTCGTCAAAGTTATTAGCGGCTATATGTTATACTGCGCGCTACACAAATTCAGGCTCACGCAGTAAAAAAACCCAGCGCTTGACGGCAGCACGGATAGCCTTATTCATCACGCAGAGCAAGAATTGTTTGCCAATGGGACAGGCCATCATCAAAAATAGTGCCCAGTGACCTATGATGGAGAGCTGTAGCTTATCAAGCACCTCAAAGAAAGATATCTGGTTGATGATGATTATGGGCAAGTAGCAGATCGTGATTGTGAGGAACAGGCCGACAGTTACACTTGCTTGCTTGATCTCGACGCGTCTTCTTCTAAGTCGGGTTTGTGGAATCTTGCCGCCGACAGCGCTTAAGCGGATCTTGCGGTATGTTCTCATCGCAGTTATCATTATTCTTGTATGTATACAGAGAAGCAATGCAATACTAATGTACATTATAATACTGCAGTACTTAGCTGGAACTCTTGCCGTTGTGTTGAATTGGAGTATAGTGAAGGAAATGATAACGGTTACGTTAAGGGCGGTACTTATTCCAATTGCAACCCTTGTGTTTAATATATTTGCGTATGTCAGCGGCTGGTATAGGAGCATGTAGCGGTCGACTGACACGGCCATAAAGGCAAAAAACGACCATATTGATACCAGATAGTGCAAATAGTTTGTAACATCGCTGAGAATTTTATTCGTGTTGAAGGATGTGCCTTTGATCCAAAGTATTAAATAGGCAGTCGTACACGGTTGAAGCGATATCGCAGAAATCAAATCGATAATGGTCATATTGGCAAGAAACACACGTGTTGCGGCGCTGAAGTTTTGGGCCTTCAGTATACCGATCAACGCAATGATACCAATAACAAATGCAATGACATTAGATATCGAGTTGAGAACGCTTATTGCGTAGAAATTGCGCACGAACGTTGCGTGTGTTACGCTTGGCATCACCAGCTGCAACGTAAAGTTGCCAGTGCTTTCATTTGTTGCAGTCATCATGTTTATTGCCACTGCCTTAAATAGTTGAGTTGTTTAAAGCAGCCTCCTGTTTTGAATTCTTACACGCCCCAAAAGGCATAGGCCTGCTGTCAAACAAATTCTTTTCTCCCTTCAGTTAGTTTGGCAGGTCGAAATCCACACAAAATTCTTGCAAACAATCTGTAAATCTCTTGCTAAACTCAGACAACAGGTTTTGTTGCTGTTTACTTGTGTTAGGTTCTTCTTGATATGAGCTTTGCTTTGTTCTAGCTTTAAACTTCCTCCTCGCCTTTCTGAAGAACCCGTATGCTGGCTCTATCCATTAGCATGCAGTCCTTGAAAAAATTCAAAAAATATTCTTTCATATCAAAAAGGTCTACAATTTATCACATTTACGGAGAACTAAGAGATCCCGAAAGCAAAACATCGTCAACGTAGCATGGAGATTGAAAGTCTCCGTTCGAGTTTAATTGAAACTTGTCTTATCAGCTGGCTTTTGACGTGAAAACTTGACGGCGGATGAGATTCAGCTGATGAAATTCTCAACTTGAAAGCCTTTATTTGATAAACGGTTACACATTTCCATTGTTGAATAAGGCTGAAGAATCCTTTTGTATGTAATATCGACCAGTTTCATTTATTTGGCATAACTTTGGCACACTATAAATTAAAAATGCAAGCAATAAGTGCATTTCTTTTCATAAAGAAAGCATAATGACCTGTTGTTTCCAAAAGTCGAACAATAATAAGAATAACAAATATTAATGGAAAAAATGATAGAATAGGATATTTGATGATAAGGACGATGCTGTGTCTATAAGAATAATTCAGCAAAGATTAACTTTGTCTGTTATTGATGAAAGCAAAGAAAACTTACACTCGACATTGTCAGTATCAGACATTTTCAATTGAAACTCGAAGAATGTCATAAAACAAAAATTTAAAAAATGCGACGTTTACTTCATTAACTAGGTTAGCTTAGATAACTGACAGCCATATTTCATTCAAGATTTAGTGCATTATCCTTAAAAATATCAAGACAATGGGGAATCCACCTCATTATGGGTTCGTCATGCCGTATTTGGGCGATTACAAACACTACGGAATAGCAGGCAATAGAGTAGGCTAAAGCTTTGTTTTTAACGTGTTTCTCACTTCCTTTTCCTTCTTACATGGTGGCTATTCCGTTTCGGGCTACTTCTGATTACATAAGATGGGTCAGCGTACTTAAGTGGGAAGTTATCCACGGGTGGGATCGTTTTTGAAGTGTTTGCGCAAGAGCGTGATTCATCCCACTCTGGTTGACTAGTGTTGTACACGAAACATGTAAACAAGAACCTTGATCAAAACTGCCCGGTATGTTATTTTCTGGGCAATTTATCAAATGGATTCGATAAATGGGTTCATTAGATTTCATTGGAGGAAAAAGAATGGTTTCTTTTTAATAATTTTTTCTCTGCTACTATGTGGTTTTGCTAGGTTTTAGTTTTGTAATCTGTTTATAATGGTTTTGCTAGTTTAATTATCGTTTCGGAGTATGTCAACTAGTTTGGCTCTAATTTCTTCCATGTACGCGTATTGAGATTCATTACAGCACACTCGAGTGGGCCAGCGCACTTGACCTTATTTACATTAATAAATTAATCCAACCTGTCATTCTCGTGGGTATCACACAAGTTGGTTGGTTCATTTTCTATGTAACCTCAAATGCAGAGTTACAAAGGAATGCATGGACGGCATTTGGACCAGTTAACCCACTTGGAAGGGCTAGCCCACCTCATGTAAATAGGCCCAAAAGACGGTTAGGCCACGGGTACATGCAAATTTGTTGACAGACCACGGGTACTGAAATGAAATTAAAGATGAAAATTTCATGAAAAATTGTAATGAAAATTTACTGAAAAATTTCAACAGTGACAATTTCCTGTCGGATCTAGGCCAGATCGATTGGGACAGTATCGTCAGTTCAAGTCAAGATATTAACGAGGCAGTCAACAAGTGGTCATATCTATTCTCATTAGTTATTGAAAAACACGCCCCACTAACAGAGCTTAAAGTTTCTGATAAGTACTCCCCATGGTTGACTAAGGAGTTTAAAGCCCTTGCTCGTACAAAGGATAAGCTTAAGATCATGGCCATCAAGAAAAACTCTTCAATTTAAATGGCCTCATACCGACACGTGCGTAACCGAGTCAATAATCTCAACAAAAATTTGAAACGGGAATGATTTTCCAAAAAGATTGCCCTTGAAAAGGGAAATCTTACAGAAACTTGGAAAACGCTCAATCTTTTGCTAAATAAAAGACCCAAAACAACCAATGTAGAATCCCTTTATGTTGATAGGGAGGTCATTATTGAGAATTCAGATATCGCAAGGTCTATGAGCGAATTTTTCTGTAGTGTGGGAAGAAATCTTAGTTTTAAGATACCTCAGCAACCCAACCTTCTTTTGTCTGGCAAGTACAAAATGAATGAATCAACTGAGCAACCGACTGAATTTAAATTTCACCCTGTAGATGAAACTTCTATCAATACAGCTCTGGGTAAAATGAAAAATTCGCTCGGGTTTGGATCTGATGGCGTTGCGAATAACTTCCTTTAAAGTGCATTTCCCGTAATTTGTCAATCTGTAATATTTTCAACTTTTCCAATTGTAAAACAGTTTTCAGACTGAATTTGTACCCTGGGTAAACATTTTTAAAATGAAAATAAATAAATATGATACATGCAAAGGGTCGGCGCTCAGTACACATTATATCGCGTACACGATTTAAGAATTGATTCGAGATAGGCTCCTGGCAGTTTCCCACCGAGGAGATTAAAAAGTATTGAATAGTAATATTGAAAACACAAACCACCTATCTTGCATGAAAGTTAACGGACGTAAAGTAAAAAATAAAAGTACTTAAAGTGAAGAACTTTTGGGTCAGCAAATTACGTGGAGCTAGCTTAGCGAAAAGAGTTATATTTAACGCTGTTCCCCACACACCTCACCCACCCAGGTCATGATTGCTGCTCTACACGCCTCACTTACGCTTCTTTTAATATAATCAAGTATCATTTTTTCGTGATGAATTATAAAATCTGAAAGATGAAATTTCGCGCGCAGGGGAAATTCGTCGCATAAGATGACGTCACCAGCATTAAAATTGTAGCGGCAAACGATCCTTTAGACACCAAATCTGTTTTATCTTTAGACAAGTAGCACTCATCGTCCAATACAAAGAAATTTTTATCTTTTGCGCTCTAGCCATGTGGTGGATGCATGATAAGGTTGCTTTGAAAATCGAGCGTAGCGCAGTTATCGCTCAAATGTGGTTCGTAAAGTGGTGTATTTCTGTATAAAGCCAGTGAAGAGAACTGTTTTGGGAGGAGGTAGTTTTGCTGTAAAAAGGCACATATCTTCAAATTTTATAAATACTGTGACAATATGAAAGGGTTTTTTATAAACTTTTCATCACCTGGACCTTAGGCGTTTAACATACATTTAATAATGTTATTAAGAAAGTATGTGGAATTACTGTAATGTGATGTATTTGAATCACGCTAATGTGATGTAAATGCTAGTTGTTGTTCAAGGAGCAGATGTGCAGAGTTCTTTTCAAGTTGTTTCATGATGTAATGTTAACTATTTCCAAATGCGATCAATCCCCTTTACCTTTTTTGCTGATTCTTGTTTCAAAAATTTCTTAACAACATGCTAAGAGGATACCTTTTGGATTGAATAATGACAAAACATATCATAACGTAACATGAGATGACATAACACATTCTTGAATCGTCACTGAAAAATGATGTTTATTGTTGCTTAATAAATGTTAGGATCGCTTTAACAGGGTTCGAGTTGCAAAAATTAGAGATATAAGTGACATCAAATGGAGTGGTGCGTATTTTTACGTCGATTGATGAGCGTCACCTGATGAAGAGTAATGCTCGAAACGTCGAGTCATATTTCATTCTTGTACAAAGTCGTTATTTTATTCTATTAATTTTTGCTCATGTTTCTTCCATGCCATCATGTGTAGCCACTCAAAAGGTGTTTCCACTTGCCAAACTTGCCAATTCTATTCAAGTCATTTTAGTGAAATCCTCAACGAATATCTGGTATTTAATTTATTTATTATTATTAATGATTTTTAGATTCAGGACTTTACATCTAAACGTTTTAAATGGGTTTTCGTAGACAATTCAATGTTTCGCGAATGAATAATAATTCAATATTGACAACAAAGCAAGGCTATAAGAACAGGGAACATGACATTTTTATCAATATCAAACGCTTTTTGCCGGCATGTACATCACTAAATAACAATTTGAACAATTTTAGCAAATTTGCTGTTTTTTAATCTAACGCTCACGAAAAAACACAATTTAGAGTTAAGCGTTACTCTTTAAAAGAATGCGAGCTTGCGACTTGCCATTGCTTTTGTTATGGAAGATATCACGAATTGGGTTGTGTTTGGATAACGATAAGAGATAGCTTTTAAGATAACGGAAAGTCAGCAACAGCAGAAAACCTCCAGGGCAGTAGCGGAGAAAAGGCGAAGTGTAGGCGAGACATTCTATGGCAAATTATACGAAGTATTTTGATTTAGTTAGAGGGTTGGGGAGGGGGGGGGGGCCTGAAAGCCATCCATCACTATTATATAGAACTAGGGGTTGTAGTTGCGCAGATGTTGCATTGAGAGATCCAGAAAGAAAAACACCTGCCAAAAGAGGATGCTCATTTGCATTCCTATTCACTTTGCTTTCTCGTCTCCTTGCGCTCTGATGTTTTATTGGAGGGAAAAAGTGAATTTATAGATTTCCGTACACGTGTCTCATAAGTGCGTCTGCTAGCGCCATGCAGGACTGCTCATTTCCTTGGAAGCTGTGTCGTTCTTAGACTTTTTTAAAAATTTTAGAAAAGAACAGAAGCCAATCCAACAAGCCATACTTTTTCTTCCTTGGGAATTTTAGGGAGATCGAGGCCTTGGGGCCCATAGTAAAACTCTAACTTGGAAAGTAGGGAGAGGCTAGGAAGAGAGTGAAGTAAGATCAAGCGTCTTGATTTTGATTTTGAAAAACAGAAGTGACTTGAATCTTGGAATCAAGATTATGGTGATGCGCCCTATTAATAAGCCCTAGGAAGGAGCTTGTAAAATATTTGAGACGCTTTTTATTTATTATGTCTCTCCGAAGTTACAATTCTTCAAATGTTCAGGAAGCAGATGTTAATGCTGTTGTCAGGTTAATGCAACCGGCCTGCTTCAAATATAAGACACGCTCTTCTGACCAAAGTTCATTGCATACGAGAAGACCGATTAGGCATGAGAAGTCTCTATGGCTCAGATTACTATCCAATTAATTACAGCAAAATTTCTTGGATTACCGTGCTATGATCTTGTTGACTGTGTTTTAACCACATTTGAACTGTATTTTTTGCCGGGTAAGCTTTTGTGTTTTACTGATTAGTATTTTTAACAAGTTTTTCCCTGGTCGAACACCAGGCTTGGGTTCCGCAAATCATCGTGTTTGGATAGGCGTCGAGACCTGAGAAATTCAGGTGTGAAAAGTTTGCGCCAGCTGTTCATGGTGTTAGGTTTGGTGATATTTGGGTAGACAGAAAACCCGCCGAAGCGTATAGAGCCGGTGTAGACAAAACTTTTTTGTTTTTCTAAGAGATGCATTCATTTGGTCACATCCAGTACTAAATTTTAGTTATAAGTCGTTTTGCCTGGTTTGGTCGCAAGAAAAGATGTTTTAAATTTTGGCGGCGTAAGAGTGACAAGCTTGAATAAAGGACTGGCGTAAGAGTGACGAGCTAGAACTAAAGGCTGTTGGAAGATTTGCAAGCTTAAACTAAAGCCGGTTTTACAGAAGGTGGAGTTCCCAACTAAAGCCGCTTTTACGCTAGGCGGAATATTCCGCGCTTCTTTCTCAACAGGATGTTGTTCTGCGACTTGAATAGATGATGGCACAAAGCAACGTAACTTTTTATCCTGTGTTAGGTAGAAGATTCTTCTAAGTATTGTAGCTGCTCTGCCCCGGCGGAGTTTTTTGCAACGTAGAAACCGGGTTAAGGGCCGGAAAATGCCTTGCAAGCTTGATCTTAGGTCGGCGCTGTCCTTGAGGCGACGCGAGAGATTTCAGTAAAAAAGCTTGTTTCTTTTCTATTCTTTTACATTGTGGGTCCAATAGCTTTTCGAATTGGTTAGATAATCAGCCAAAAACTGTAGATCTTTCAGAATATGTACTCCAATCTTGTTAACGGTGATTGGAATGAATTAACAATTAGACCTTACGGAGTGGGATGACATCGCATCTAAAGTCTTCGTTGCATTTTTGCTTTTTAGCTAGTCACATCGAGGGAAGTTTCTTTGGGCATCAAAACGTTTCTAAAAAATGTTCAGCTAGCTGAAATTCGAACAAGTCTGGTCCTTTCCCTAGGTGAGAACTGCGTTTCTGGTAAAGAGTCATCAATATAAAACATACACAGTAATTATGCAGGTTTATTACCAACGAACTTCCACATCTATGTGAGATAAGAAAAGAAGCAAACAAAACGAACAGCTGCACGTTTCTGCCCGAACCATTTGCAACCTCTCCTGATATCTATACAAACCCCATTGATGCCTTTTGCGCAATAATGAACATTTAATTTGTAATTGCTCTTCTTTAATTTTTCTCTGTCGTTTATGCTGGAGAAAAGCAAGAGGAAGAAGGGAGAGAATAGAGAGTGGGAAAGTTGCCGTGTTTGGATATGCATACAAATTATTTCCGTTTCGATCTGTGCAACGTTTCTGCTACAACTAAGATCGGCTATCAAAATTGCCAATTTAGCTGTTTAGCTATCCTATTCATACGACTGCTTGATCAATACTATTTAAAAGACAAATTGAAAAATCGTTTAGTCAACTTTCTTCCGTAATGTCGCACTGCATAAACAATTAATATTAGTTATTGCAACAAATATTTATCTGGGATCACTCTCCAAATCTTGCTATAAAACGAAATTATTATGTGTTTCATTATTACTTACTGTGTAACGACCACTTCTTCGCAACTGTCATGCAATGTGACATCAAATTTTGGTTCACGTAATCGAGGGCCACCGCTCACTTGCACGTACAACAACGAACTGAAGACACAGCGTTTCTTGTCTCTTGTAAATACATTTCGGATTTAGCGTGGGCGTCACTCTCCGCGAATGGCCTCTAGTCCTTGACGACAGGTGTTCTTCGACTTGAAAATCAATGTTAGTCTATTTCCTATATCACTATAGGATTTAACTGCATTTTTTTAAAATTTTGATTCGAGGGTGTTTTAGATGCGATTCAATTCCAGTTGAAGCTAGTAATATTGTTATTTATCTTGAAATGTAGCGTACTGTGTTGCTTTATGAAGGCGGCATGCGAAGCTTAAGGAGAAATGGCGCGAAGCTTAGAGAAAAGCGATTTGAAGTACAGCTTGTTTTGCCATGGAAGGTTAGATGCTCGATGCAAATGAGAATGTGCTAGCTTCCAAAATGAATTCTACCTGCACCTGCCTGTAACAAAAGCGCTGGAAATCTTCTTGAAAGGAGCCTCTGAAATTGATATAAACGTAAACAGATACTAGAATCTGTGGCAAAAATTATTCTATAAGAGAACTAAGTAAATTTCATTTCTTTCCCCTTCTTGTCCTTTTTTGTTGCATACAACGTGTTCATTGAATCTAGAGCTCCAACCTTATTATGCAGTCCGCAGCTTTCAAATACACTAAACAACTGACAACTCGTAACTCACTTGCATGCTGTCCTACAAAAAGTTGTTTTGTTTTCAACTCTTTCTCTTCACAGATTCAAATACGAAGACTTGCTTTGCACTAGCGAGAATTCAAGTTCAGAAGATTCATTACAGCGCCTTTTGTTACATTAAATATTTTCCTAAAAACTGACTATTAAAATTGAAAGAAAACGCAAGTACAAGGAGATGTGAAATAATGTTATGAGGAATTGGATATATTTCTAGATTAAAAGGCTGTGGGACATACTATGGAAAATTCGTAGGAGCTATTTAAGCATATGCCCCCGAGATTGGGAGAACGTGCACGAACAGCCCGAAACATTTGAGCGAGGGGCAGATCACTCCATGGAAATCTTGTACACCTTTGATGAAAATCTTGTTGTTTTATCAAAAAATCCGTAGCCATCCTTTTGTTTTCGATCGTACGCTACTTGTAAAACTACCTCTCCCATTCGAGTAAATTCTGAATTGCCCAGTTCCCCCTTAACTTTTGGCAGCAAAATGGCAAACGAGTCAATTGTTGCAATTTTGTTGACTGATTTCGTAACATGGAAAATTTTTTCTGATAACATAGTGAAAACAGGGTCTCTAAAACCAGTTCATAATGCTTCTTGTCAACGATAGCTTGTTTTCAGGCTCACAAATTCAATTGCAAGTTCCAATCGCCAGGGACAAATATTCAGCTAGGGCATTGATCAAGCTATTTGCAGGTGTTCAAATCAGTATTATAATAGCCATCAATTTATTTCAGTAAATAACCGAAGCTGTTTTAATTTGATAGAGATATTTGTCAGACACTGTTTCTCTCTTCTGTTGAATCGGAACGGAAGCAAATGGATAACCATAAGCAAAATAATGGTTGATCGAAGCATCAGAGCTCCAGGCCCGGGGATTTGATAATCTATGATGTCATAGCAGAATAATAAAACAAAGACTTAGGGACCCTTTACATGAGATGAAGTCATGTTGGCGTGAGTTTCATTTCGTTCAACGCCATGAAATCAGAGCAGTAGCTCAGACCAGCACCGGACATGAAACTCGTGCCGACATAAGTTTCATTTCGGGTCTCATGTAAATGGCCTCTAAGAAAGGTCTTAAGGAAGAAGAAAAAAGTTACAAAATTTTGATTTTCATTTTATTTTGATTTTCACAAAATTTTATTTAATCCCTATGAAAATTGGACATTGCACATTTGCCCTTATTACAGATGGATGCCGAATGAGCGGTTCACCGCTAGACGATCTGTATTCTTAAGACAACCGTTAGGAGTTTTCTCGTCGCCACATGCGCAGTAGGGACGACTGCATCGTCTTCAGTAGCGTGATAACCGTTTTAATGCTTCTAGCTCGAATCTAAGGCTACGTTCACACTACTCCGTATTCGTTTCGCTCCGTTTCCGTTAATGAAAACGCTGTCCGTTTACACTTATCCGTTTTCAAATGAATATGATTTGAGAACGATAAGTGTTCACACTGCTCCAACATAAACGCTGGTGGTGGCCTCATTTTTGAAAAAAGGCGTTCACGAATCCTCAACAAATTTGCGTCATTATGAATGAAATTGAATAAAAACAACTCGTGAAAAACATCGTTGTAACAGCTACCAGTCCATTGTGAATTCTCAATTTCAAAATTTTTGAGATTTGGTTTGCTAGAAAGCACGTATTTTGTTTCCTTTGTTAGCGTATTCAAATGTCTCCGTTTTTGGTGTGCACATTGAAAATGGAGCGTATTCAAAACGCACCGTATACGAAAGTATCCGTTTTCATTAGCGTTTTCAAACAACTCCGTTTTCATAGCAGAGTAGTGTGAACGCAGGGCAAAACGGATTAGTTTGACTCCGTTTTCATTTGAAAACGGAGTAGTGTGAACGGGCTCTAAGTAAATGCAATAGGGACCATCACAACCAACGTCAGAATCCCATAGACAAGTTAGGTGATTTCGATAGGACAGTGGGAAAAGTAAACGAACAACAGTAATTGACAGGAAAAATTATATGTCAATAATGCGTGAGTATACGCATGTAGGTCAAATATGGGATTCACGGTTTTTATTATGCTCCTTGTTTAATCTACGTACCTAAAAGTGACATTTTCTTGGTACATTCCCGTCGCAGATTTATGAAGACGCAGTATATACCTTAATGTCAAGTACCGTATTGTACTTTGGCAGCTATTGCAGTTTTGTTTTGATGCGTGCTGCGAGACAGGCCTCTTCAAATTGGAAAAACTTTCTTCGCAATATTGGCTACCGTCTTGAAAATGGTCTTGTCAAAAATAATATCAAACTCTTTTCTTTTTTTCTAAGAGAATTCTAAAGAAAGAAAGAAGCCAACTAAGGTGTGAATCCTTGCACGATGAGGCAACCTTTTTTCCTTTGAAAATTTGAAACATATGGCTTTTTGATAAGTTTGACCAGAGCTACAAGGACCAGGACAGATAAAAAGCGCTTTAGCTATTCGGTGCATGATCCAGGTAAAATGAGCATTTTGATATGGATTCAAAGAAAACTAATCTTTGAATACATTCACGCGTCTGAAATAAGCACTTATCTCTAAGAAAACTGGATCGAGCATCTACAGGTACCAATGGAAGTCAGCTAAAATTTGACGGTAGCGATATGGCTTGGACTCCAGAAACAGTGAGGCTGACTGAATGTATTTGAATTGTGGGTAACTAGATAATGAGTCCGTTGGGGCTTGTTTGCAGCATACGATAGACATAGATGGTGTATTTTTGTGAAACTTGGCGTTTAGTCGTTTCGCCAGTAAAACTTAGGCCGGGAAAGCATGTTCTATTGTCAACTGTCAGCTCAGTTGTCAACTGACTTTCATGGATTTTGAGAAATAAACTAGGAATGAATTAGGTCTCCAAAGCTGAGAATAAAATCAACAGTGCTGTTTTGGGACCGAACAATATGGCGGATATCAAAATTCGCGGGCTTCAATGTACCTTGCCGCGGAAACAGTAGGTTGCGCTATAAGAGATCAACAATGGTAATAACCTCTCTCTCTCGACATCGTCTTCTACTTTCACTACTACTGTATCAGTTTTCCTAAAATGTTTCACACAGCCATCTTAGCAACATTTCACCAATGGTAATAACCTCTCTCTCTCGACATCGTCTTCTACTTTCACTACTACTGTATCAGTTTTCCTAAAATGTTTCACACAGCCATTTTAGCAACATAGCACCACATTCGAATTCTCGACAAGTGTGAAAAGTAGCTGTTATAATGTACTTGTTTACTGTACTGATATGCCCCCTATAATAATGGACTCACATACGCCCATGTAACCGTTTACTTAGTTTTAGATTGAATTGAATTATAAGTTAGTTGTTGATGTGTTCTGTTACAGTTGAGTCGAAAGTATAAAGGGAGTTTTTTATCTTGCATCCTCCTCCTCATATCTTGCATTCTAATGATCATTACACCTCTGAACAAGCCAGAAATCTGCTAATGTGATGATGGTGTGTAAACCATTCGTTAGATTTATTTCCAACTTTACACCTTTATTATCCCCCATTTCCTTTGCTGTCACTAACTGACCTCCAGATAGTAGAGATTGATCTTGATTATGCGTTTTTGTCGTAGGCATTTTCAGCTTAGCCTAATGTAGGGATTTTAGCTATAAATCTCTATTGTCGGCCTGTAAATCTTATGAAGGGCCGTTATTGAAATCTCTCCATTTTGTCGGACATTTTTAGTAGATACAAGATTATGATGCGCCACAAAATTCTTTAAGGTATTTATAGAACACATAAATCAATTATAATTTACCCCAACGTTCACTTTGTTTCAATAGTGGGAAGGTTTTGCCTTATTTTGCAAGATGATGAAAATTTGATTTCAGAGTTGTAGATTTGATGAAAGATCAGGGCCTATGTATTTGCATAATTTGACAACAAGTAGCAGAGATGTTAGTTGTTGCCCTCGACTCACTTGCAGAATTGCCCGACATCGCCACTAAGTAAGTTAATGTAGCCAGGTTTTCGATAAGACGATCACGTTCTATTATCTTTGCATTCACCATAACTCTAAAACTGGAGGATTTTCGGTTTCGTAAATCCTCTTGAATCCTCATTATCAGATTTTTTAATGAATCAGACGATTATAAAGTCTGCATGGGCGACATAAATTTATAACCCTATATATTATAACCGCAAATGCTTTGAAACACGGTATTAAGTCTACTTATTCAGAAGAGCGCATAGCGAACAAAAATTCTGAAGTGCAGGTCGGTCTTTACCTAGTAACAACATGGAATCATGGAATTGCTGAATAGGTACGAAAAGCTGTTTGTTGCTAGAACATTCGCCACCAGGTTTATATGCAGTAATAAAATTGCTATTGATCGTGGTCGTAGGTATTCTAAAACATCCCTTGTCCCTAACCAAATAATTTGTGCAGTGTTTATGGCCATGACAGTTCATCCTCGATTCCGTGCTTTATGCTGATTGAAAAAAAGTTTTCTAATATTTTTCCATTCCATTTGTCATCAACCAACCGTTTGTCAAAGAAGTTTACTGATTAAAGGCCTTTAAAGAAATTTGATGGCACAGGAGCTGCATTATTTCCAAGTGTGTGAGCGAATAACGCTTGAATATTCGTCGGAAATGGTTGTAATTGATCAGGTACAACTTATATAATTTCACGTCGTAGGCCTTTGAAGCTCCCGAATTGCTTTTCTTACTGTATATTCTATAAAAGCTAACTTCACCTGCAATCAAGCCAGTAGTGTTCCGACCGATTCTTAATGCACAATGAGTGGCGGTTAGGTTAAAGGATATGGTTTAGAAACTATTAGAGTGATAAGAAGATGCTTTTCGACTTAATGCCGGTAAAAAGCTTCACGAAAGACAGCCTGAATTCAAAAAGATCTATCCAAACAGATTTTATCCATGCAAGGGCAAAATTTAATAGCCATGAAATATCATCCGATTATTTTCCCTCTGTTTTATTAAGGATCAGACTGTTGGGTGCAAATTTGCAAAGCTATTCTTCTGTTAATTGTATTGATCTAATATTCTAATTTATTTTGTTCTGTTTTCTTTATACAACACGGTAGCGCCATCTTCGACATCGATTCTATTCTTCCTGTCTTGTTTTTTTACCGTCGCTCAAGTGGATAATATTATGTTTTCACAATGAAGGACCAACAGAATTCCACTGGATCCGCTCTAGTGTAAGCATGAACAGAATGTGCACTATATCCGTTCTAGTGTAAGCACCAACAGAATGGGCACTGGATCCGCTCTAGTGTAAGCATGAACAGAATGTGCACTATATCCGTTCAAGTGTAAGCACCAACAGAATGGGCACTAGATCCGTTCTAGTGTAAGCACCAACAGAATGGGCACTGGATCCGTTCTAGTGTAAGCACCAACAGAATGGCCACTGGATCCGCTCTAGTGTAAGCATGAACAGAATGTGCACTATATCCGCTCTAGTGTAAGCACCAACAGAATGTGCACTATATCCGTTCTAGTGTAAGCACCAACAGAATGGCCACTGGATCCGCTCTAGTGTAAGCATGAACAGAATGGGCACTAGATCCGTTCTAGTGTAAGCACCAACAAAATGGGCACTATATCCGCTCTAGTGTATGCATCAACAAAATGGGCACTATATCCGCTCTAGTGTAAGCATCAACAGAATGGGTACTGGATCCGTTCTAGTGTAAGCACCAACAGAATGGGCACTGGATCCGTTCTAGTGTAAGCATCGACAAAATGGACACTGGATCCGTTCAAGTGTAAGCACCAACAGGATGGGCACTAGATCCGTTCTAGTGTAAGCACCAACAGAATGGTCACTAGATCCGTTCTAGTGTATGCATCAACAGAATGGGCACTGGATGCGTTCAAGTGTAAGCACCAACAGAATGGGTACTGGATCCGCTCTAGTGTAAGCATCAACAAAATTGGCACTGGATGCGTTCAAGTGTAAGCATCCACAGAATGGGTACTGGATCCGCTCTAGTGTAAGCATCAACAAAATTGGCACTGGATGCGTTCTAGTGTAAGCACCAACAGAATGGGCACTGGATCCGTTCTAGTGTAAGCACCAACAAAATGGACACTGGATCCGTTCAAGTGTAAGCATCCACAGAATTGGCACTGGATCCGCTCTAGTGTAAGCATCAACAAAATTGGCACTGGATGCGTTCTAATGTAAGCATCAACAGAATGGGTACTGGAACCAAATAGAAGTGATTCCGAACTCCAAACACTGAAACTGCCTGTAGTAGCAGAAGTTGTTGCAGAATAGTTGGAAAAACTGACGTACGGCTGGTTCTGAGTTTGTCCAGAATGTTCCTCCGTATGAACGGATGGTTCTCCGTATGAAATTTTTTGTTATGAAGAGGTTCTACATTCAATTGGTCCGAGCTCCCATTAATGAAAAATTTCGAAAGCAGCGGGCTCAGTATGGAGCCCTGAGGTCTTTTATTCAGATTTGAACCGGCGACGAACAGAGGCTATTGACTCTTTACCAGAAACCTTACCACTTACATTTTGCACTTTCAAGGTCCTATTTCCCCCATAGGAGGACAGATTTGCCGTGTTTGTGATACTAAACTTTTTTGACCGTTTAGAACGCTCTTATATTGCAAATGCTATTTCTGAAGGCAAGGTATCAGTTTATTGTAGACCTATGTTACTATGTTTGATGACTAACAAAGAAAACAACCCTTCAGATCTGTCATGAAATTAGCCATCTTTTCTAAACAACCATTCAGGTCTGTCATGAAATTAGCCATACCTATGTCTTTGTTGTTTGAAGTCTTATTTGCTGCTTTATATGCTTGAAGTTTTTTCACGCTTCCGTTACGTACAACGCCACCAATCATTTTTGGCGGCAGCAGCAATCATCATAAACATCTGATCTTTCTCTTAGCTGATAATATATTGAAAACTCATTTCTTTGTAGCACTGAGTTTTGATCTATTTTGAATTAATGTTTGATAACAATAAACAGTCATATCCCACAATTGAGGAGTTATTTGTTAACTGACAAACAGTTTTCTATCTAAATGGCATAAATCTCATTTATAATAGTTTTATTAAGAATTTGTCAAGTGTTTTGCCAGCTGTCATATATTGAAGCTAGGTATTATGCAGCTCTCCTTTCGTCGCTTTCAGCCATCAAATATGCATCCAATGACTTCACCTATACCTTGCCTAATTAGCTGATGTTTCAGTCAAAGATCCTGTGAACGGAAACAAGGTCCTATACTTTATTGTATTTGCATCTAGCTTTGATGGTTTGGAACTGCTTCTAGGCCGTGCTTCCCATATCGCAAGATAGAAATGCAACCGGACTATTTACTGGTAGTTATTTCTTTTAAAGTTGTATTGGTTTCAAGCAATCTTTTAAGACCTTTATTGCGTTTAGGCGACGGTGAACCTGTCTTTTTGTATTTCGATGACGAATAGTTGTAATGTTTTGTGAGCAGAAACATCCATGGTGAAACACATCCAAGGAATATGTGGTAAGAATTGGTGTCACGTAGGAGCTTCTGGACTCTGCATCAGTTTTATGTCGTTTGATGCCTCGATATTGATGCTCTCCCCTCTTAAAAGAGTGCTTTGCAAGGAATAAACCATCTGCTTAACATGTCAACAAAACTATTCGTGACGTTGTCGGAGGCAGAAAAAGATACTCTTGCAGTAATTGGTATACTGAATTGCGTTACAGTTCCAATTTCACTTGTCCTAAATATTCTTGTTATTACCCCTGTTTTGATCAAAAGAAGGCTAAGAACCCTTGATAACATATTCAAAGTTAACGTTTGCGTAGCGAATATCTCGCTGATTCTTCTTGCCCAAATTCCTGTAATCTTCGTGATTCTACTCGGGTCCAGCCAAACATGGTTTAGGCCGCTGTCAAAAATAATCACCACAGTCTCATTTTTCACCGTTGCTGGTTTGATGCTTGAGAGATACATTTCTGTGTATTACCCATACTCTTACCATCGGGTTCGGGAACCTCGAATAGTGATAGTGCTGATAAGCCTGGCATGGTTGCCTCCATTTATTGTTGGCAGTCCACTATTTACAAGGAACAAACATAATTTTGAAGACCTGGTATATATCGTGCTATCTGCTATGAGTGCACTGAATTCATTCCTAGTCGTCGCATCACAGGTTCGTTTTCTTATAACCATACGTAAAATGCAACGTCAAATCCAAGTAAATGAAGAGCGTTTCGCACGGAACAATCGCCAAAGAGCATCTTTGAACAGAAAAGGAACGCGCTATACAATCATCGTTTCCCTTCTATTTCTGGTTTGTCATACTCCGTATTCTGTATTCGGCTTGCATGCCAACATCATGAACCCCGGTCCAGAGAACCAACCTTACGACATCATTTTTGTCATGGCAACTCTATCCTTTTTTCCCAATATAATTATTCCGTCGCTTATCATTTGGACCACGAAAGGAATACGTGAGGTGTATTCCCAATGTTGTGTCCACATTGGCTGTACCGCAGTAGAAGATACACCTTAGTTTGTAGCATGGGTCATAGACCGAATCGAATATCGACTTGATCTTGGCAACAGAGGGACTTATCCTATCCCGTCAGTTATGAAAACTCCCTAAAACTTGGTGAGCGGATAGTTTGTGTAAGAGATTAGAAAGCTTTAAAACAGATGGCTTTTCGCTCCGCATCAACAACAAATGGAAAGGTTTAAGTCATCGCCCTTAACTGACGTAGCCAATATCCAAAATTTTCTGTCGTTTAGCGGGCTTCAGGGATAAAGGGGATATTTCTCGCTGCTATAGGTCAGCCACGAGGCTCCCGGTACATAGACGAAGTCTTTATTCGATGTGGACTGTGATGCAGCCTAGGCTCTTAACAGTAATTTTAATTTCTCATCTGCTTAAGACACTTAGCAGAGTTAAGGCGGAGATATAGGTTGGATATAGATATACCAGAAGAGGTGGTAAAGTTAAGTAGGGGAATATTGAAGAAGAAGAAGAGAAACTGAATTATCATAGTTTTTTGATTTTCTTCTTGCATGCTTCATTACAAGACAAATGTAGTTGATGTTGATTTCTTTACTTGTGCAAAAAAACTTCAATTTGAATCAACGCAGAAACATCTGGTAATCTAGGAATAATTGCAAATTGCATCCAATTAGGATATTAATGTTTTATATGGCATGTTACATAGAGAATTTTGAGTTAAATGTTCGTTGATCTATATTAATTTTAATGTGTGGGTAGCAATTATGTGCGTAGCAATTATGTGCGTAGCAATTATGTGCGTAGCAATTATGTCGGTAGCAATTATGTTTTTAGCAATTAGTTGCATGAGTAAAATTAGTCCTTGCACACAAACCATATATAGTATGTTCTGCAAGTGGTCGATGATCTCTCCAGAGAACTTTGGAGATTATTGCATCTGAAGAAAGCACACTTTAGCAATGCGCGCATAGAGTTCTTTAGTGATGATGTCACAAAAATAATTTTTTAGAATTTTTTAACTTCGACCCCACAACCTGAAAGGACATCATGAAATACCTAGAAGTGTGTAAAATCAGTCGAGTGAATGTGTTACAGATCGGCTGAGATATGGCAATATGAGCACAGACTCTTGCCTCTTCAAACCTCTTTCTTTTGGTCTCTCTTCATAACTTTACGAACAGAGCCAAAATAGCAGTCTTTGTTAGAAATCTTCAAGTCTTTTGTTGGCCATATCGAAACCGACTTTTGATATATTTATAACTGATTTTGATATAATTGGTTTTGCATATTTAGGAGTTTTTCATGTTGTTCTTTTATGATACGTGGTCAAAATGTAAATATTCTAAAAAGAGTTTTATTATGACGTCACACAAGAACTCTTTTCTTCAATTTTTGTCAATTACGGATGTTCTTCTGTGCCTTTCTATATTAATTCTACCATACTCACCAACACATTATTATCAATAGCTTTACTTCATTTCCCCTTCAAGTCTGCGTTTGATTTCTAAATTTCCTCTTTCTCATACTACACAGATGGTCTTTAATTAACCCATGCTTATTATCTCGATTGAATAGATTTACTCAGCAAGCAGCGTCATAGACTATGTTTTTGTTTACTTGGCCATTTTAGCAAAACTCAACGAATCTTCGGCAATTTGTTTGCATATGAAGTTGATCT